CGAAAAGGTCAACGATCTCTACGAAGAGGTGGACGAAAACCAGTACAAGGAGATCGTGCGTGACCGCTTGAACCAGGATGACTTCGTCGTTGACGACAATGGCGAAGGCTACGCCGACGACGGTCGCGAGGAGTGGGACAGAGTGCCCGCTGCCTACGAGTCCGACAGCGAGGACGACCTGAACCCCAACCTGCGCGCCATGGACCGCAAGAGTGAGTAAAGTACAAACCCCATCCTCTCCCCTCTACTTGTTGCTGACCACTGTCTCGTTGCAGCCAAAAAAGAGCGCGACCACGAGCAGGCGAGGCGGGATGCCAACGACAAGGATATATCCGAGTACTTTACCAAGGGCGCCGTCAAGGCCCAGCCGAAGCCCAAGGTTTGTGCTTCACCTACCTTACCCTGTTGACCACCACCCCAGTACCGCCCTTCTAACTCGGCGGCCAGGTTATCAAGACAGAAGACGACGAGAAGTTCCTCACCGACCTCCTTGGCGAGGTTGACGTCAACATCACTGCTCCGCTGCCCCGAGCATCCAAGAAAAGAGACAGATCGGCTGAGCGGAGAAAGGCTCGCGCCCTCTCCCCCGTTCGAGAAGCTCGCCGGCCCGCCACAAAGAAAGCAAAGGTGGTCGACGACAGACTGCCTTCTCCCGCTGCCAACGATGCCATGCTGGTAGAAGAGGACGACTTCATCCCTCCTGTAGATGATGATCTACCTACTGCCGCCCGTGACGTGCTCATGAGCGATCCTCTCCCTTCGTCACCCGCCGCCAAAGTTGCCAAACGGAGGATACAAATCAAGGCCGACGCTGAGGAAGAGGACGAGGATGACATGATGGAGGTTGCACATACTGGCGCCATCGCTGCTGCAAGTGTCAACCTGTCGGCGTCCCGCCAGATCAAGAAGATCTTGAAGCCGGAGCTCTTACCAACCCCAACCAGCTCGTCGCCTGTCAAGGCTGCAGATGAAGCTGTTGACGCATCTTCGTGGAATAACATCAGTCAGAAACTGAATCTTGTAACCAGTTCGGCGCCCGAAACCCGGACAATTGGCAAGATGGACTACAAGGACGCTATCGAGGAGGATGGCAGCTTGAACTTCTTTTGGACTGACTATACCGAGGTCAACGGCAGCCTGTGTCTCTTCGGCAAAGTTCTGAACAAGAAGACAAGGCACCACGTCAGTTGCTTTGTCAAGGTTGATAACATCCTACGCAAGTTATTTTTCTTGCCCCGCAAGCACCGTATGAAGAACGGACAGGAGACCGACGAGGAGATCGGCATGATGGACGTCTATAATGAAATTGACACGGCCATGACCAAGATGAACGTCGGCATGTACAAGATCAAAGCTTGTACTCGAAAGTATGCATTTGAGCTTCCCGACATTCCAAAAGAGGGCAGTTACATGAAGCTCCTTTACCCCTATACCAAGCCTCAAATCGACACGGGCAAGAAGGGCGAGACATACTCTCATGTCTTTGGTGCCAACACCGGTCTCTTTGAGCAATTTGTCCTCTGGAAGAATATCATGGGCCCTTGCTGGCTCAAGATTCAGGATGCCGACTTTGGCTCCATGAGAAATTCCTCGTACTGCCGGCTGGAAGTGCTTGCTGAACATCCCGCCATGGTCACTACGCTTAGCGAGAGTGACAACCTTGACGCGCCGCCCTTGACTATTATGAGCATTGCGATGCGTACAACATTCAATGCCAAAGATAACAAACAAGAGCTTCTTGCCATCAGCGCGAGGATATATGAGGATGTGTCGCTGAGCGACACCACTCCAGCTGACAAACTTCCATGTCGCACCTTCACCGTCATCCGACCACACAATAACGCCTTCCCTCTTGGTTTTGAACAGATGGCCAAGGACAGGAAGAAGGGACTCCTCAAGCTTGTGAAGCAAGAATTCGACATGCTGACCTTCTTTCTTGCCCAAGTCGATGTTGTCGACCCAGACGTCATTGTTGGCCATCAATTGGAAGGCGTCGATTATAGTATCCTCGTTAATCGCCTCCATGAGAAGAAGACTCGCGAGTGGTCTCGGCTTGGCAGGTTGCGGCGATCCCAGTGGCCGCCGTCCATCGGCAAGGTCGGGGGCAATGTTTTTGCGGAGCGCCAGCTTATGGCCGGTCGGCTTCTCTGTGACCTTGCGAATGACGCTGGCAAGTCAGTCATGTACAAATGCCAGTCGTGGGGCTTGACCGAAATGTGCACGCTCTATCTTGGGGTCGAGAATCGCCGACGGGATGTTGACAACGAGGCTGCCCTCAAGACGTGGGCAAACACAAGGGATGGCCTGATGGACTACGTGACCCACGTGGAAACTGATACCTATTTCATCGCCGCCTTGGCCTTGAGGGTCCAGATTCTGCCCCTGACCAAGGTCCTCACCAACTTGGCAGGAAACTCATGGGCAAGAACGCTGACTGGCACGCGTGCTGAGCGCAACGAGTACATTTTGCTCCACGAGTTTCACAGGAATAAGTACATTTGCCCTGATAAGCAGACGTTCAGCTCTCGGGCTCGCGCCGACGAGGAGAATCAGGAAGAAGAAGGTGGAGATGGCAAGAAGAAGGACAAGTACAAGGGCGGTCTTGTCTTTGAACCCGAAAAGGGCCTCTACGATAAGTTTGTGCTCGTCATGGACTTCAACTCCCTCTACCCTTCAATTATACAGGAGTACAACATCTGCTTCACCACGGTCGATCGAACCAAACTGGCAAGTTGATAATAATCCCCCTTTTATATGCTTTTCACTAATGCTTTGGGTAGTCGAACGACGAAGAAATGGTACCTGAGGTGCCGGCGCAACAAGCTCCGGGTGTCCTTCCGAGGCTCATTGCAACACTTGTTAGCCGTCGTAGACAAGTCAAAAGCCTGATGAAAGACAAGACAGCTACCCCAGAACAGCTTGCCACCTGGGAAATCAAGCAACTTGCTCTGAAGCTAACAGCAAACTCCATGTACGGCTGTCTGGGATACACAAAATCGCGATTCTACGCCCGGCCTCTTGCTGTGCTCACGACGTACAAGGGACGCGAGATTCTTCGCAGCACCAAAGAGCTGGCAGAAGAAAAGGCGCTACAGGTGATCTACGGTGACACGGATTCCGTCATGATCAATGCGAATGTGGACAATGTAGCAGACGCGCTGAAAGTTGGCCACGAGTTCAAGAAGGCAGTCAACGAACGCTACAGACTACTAGAGATCGACATCGACAACGTCTTCCGCCGCATTCTTCTCCAGGCCAAGAAGAAGTATGCCGCCATCAACATGGTTGAGGTCAATGGCAAATACATTGAAAAGATGGAGGTCAAGGGTCTGGACATGAAGCGTCGCGAGTACTGTGCTCTATCCAAAGAAATCTCAAGCCGCATCCTCAACGAGATTCTATCTGGGGAGGACACCGAGGCTTCTATCCAGCGCATCCACGAGTATTTACGCGAGACAGCTACCAAGATGCGTGAACAGGCCATCCCCCCGCAGAAATACATCATCTTCACGCAACTCGGCAAGTCGCCCAAGGACTACCAAATGGCCGACAGCATGCCACAGATTCAGGTAGCGTTGCGAGAGATGGCGCGTGGCAAGACAGTTCGCAAGGGCGACGTCATTTCGTACATCGTCACGGGGGACAGCAAGACCATGTCCGATGCACCGGCTAAGCGTACCTATACGCCGCAGGACGTGCTGAAGGCAGGCTCGGGCCTCGCCCCGGACATTGAGTGGTACATGACCAAGCAAATCTTCCCGCCGGTTGAGCGTCTCTGCGCCAACATTGACGGCACATCCACGGCTCAGCTGGCCGAGAACCTCGGGCTCGACATCTCGCGCTACGCCAACAACAACAGTAACACAGGCAGCAACAATGATCTCGATATCCATCCGCTTGAGTCGCAGATCCCCGACACGGTGCGGTTCCGCGACTGCGCGCGCCTGTCGCTGCGCTGCCGCACGTGCAAGAACTCTGCCCCGTTTGAGGGCCTGCTCGGCTCGCCCGACTGCATTACCCCGGCCGGCGTGGCCTGCACCACATGCGGGGCGACGCTGTCAACGCTCTCGGTGGTGGCACAAGTCGAGGCGGCGATTCGCGCTCAGACGGCCAAGTACTACGAGGGATGGATGGTGTGTGACGATTCAAGCTGCGGAATGAGGACGCGCCAGATGAGTGTGTATGGAACGCGGTGCATGGGGCCCAAGGGGCTGGCGAGGGACTGTCTGGGGAGGATGCGGTATGAAATGGGAGAGAGGGACATTTATAATCAGCTTGTGTATTTCGCTAGCCTGTGGGATGTGGAGAAGGCCAAGGCCAAGGCGGGGAGTGGGAGCGCGGGTGCGGGTGCAGGTGGGAGCGGGAGCGGGGATGATGGAGTTGTGTTGACGGCGGAGATGAAGGAGAAGGTAAGGGCGCTGGCGGAACATAATAGGGTCAGGTTTGAAACGGTCAAGGGGGTGGTGGATAAGTATCTGGACAAGTGTGGGAGACGGTGGGTGGCGATGGATACGCTGTTTGCCAAGTTAGGGTTTGCAGCGCCTGCCTCGTAAGAGTCGGGAATAGGATGGGTTTAGGTAGTAAGAGGGTAGGTGGTATATAGTTGTACATGTTCTCTTGTGGTGCGCGTTTGAGTTAGGGGAAAGAAGGTATGGGCATACGATGAGTTGGATTATGTATTTGGGCTTGTTTCATTTTCTCTACTTGGTTGGTGGTATGGCTCGGCGTTCTGGGTAGGGGCAGTCAGTTATTTGGCTTGGAAGATGATAATTATACTCATTTTGGTTCGTGCTGCTTTGCCTGGATCTTGCTGTGTCGGGGTAACTGTGACGTATATAAGTTTGACTATGCAACATGGCAGATATACTGATATTGATGTCTCACGTAAAAAAAGCTAACAGATGAGACACTTAAACTAGAGTAGGTGGGTAAACAACTGCAATCATGATAAGCAGTATTTGTAAGAAAAAAAGAAGTTGTCTGTTGACGATGATTGTTCTTGCCCACACCCCGAATCGAACGAGGAATCTCCCCATTGTAATACTACGAGTGGGACGCCATAGCCATTAGGCCATGCGGGCTTGATCTTGTTTTTGATGTTTGGTTAGGGCCGGAAATGGGGCTCTTCATGGGATGGAGTGGCGGCGAGACGGGGCCCTCTGGGATGTGGATCACGTTGATGCTTCAAGCGGAGCCCTCGGTCCTGGAGATTTCAGGGGCTCAGGGGCTGCAGTATACCCTAACCCTATATCTGCATTTCATTCAGCTATCATTACGCTTACGGTATACAAACGGGAGGTGCTCAAGTGCCTCCCGGATACCAATGTCTTAGAAGCTCCCACTCGGGTGCCATCTGTTCCAAGTCAAATGCCTCGCCATTCAACCTGGCGCGGGCTCGGCGGATGGCCTGCCAGGTATATCCAATGTTGTCGAGACCGACCTCGGCGGCGTGGTGCAGTACCCTCTCGACCCATTGCTCACACACCTGGTCCAGCTCGTGCTCCAACGCCTCGGCTGCCTCGCGCAGATGCGGCAGTGCCTCCTCCTCCCTGCGCACCAGATACTCGACAAACTCTAGCGCGTGGTCCAGTCTCACCCGTACGGCATTCTCGCCCCTACAGTCGTCGTCGCGCTCCAGGGGCAGCGTCCGGCCCGAGTCGAACAGAGGCTGGAAACTGACGGGCGCACTGAGATGGTGGTCGTCGCCCGTCCTGACCAGGACGACTTTGAAGCCGGATACACGCCAGTCTGCCTCCCATTCGTCGTGCTCGAAATTCTTGAACTCGGGTTTAGCGGGTTTGAGGCGGTAGTCTCGGGCGTGTCACTCTTGCTCACCCTCCTTGGGGGTATGGCTATGGCAGCCGTCCACCACCATGAACAAGGAGCGGAAGATATGGCCCAGCTGGAAGCCGTGCTGTCGGTATGATAGCGGCTGTTGGCTTAGGCGAGGAGCAAAATTGGGGTTCCTGAGCTTCGGGTCCGGGTTTCTCTTGTCGGCTCTCGTCCACTGGCGTTGGGGCTTGATGTCATCCTCGCAGGCGGCCGCGCTGTCGCACACGCTTCTGTGGAATGCAAGCACATAAGGCAAGTCGGTCACGAGGCATTGCTCGAGGTTCCAGCAGTCAGGGCCGATGCGGCGGTCAACGAATTTGGTGGCTCTGGCCATAAAGTGGTGGCGGTGAAAGGGCGGCCATTTGCAGTGCAGCGAGGTGCGGTGCATCCAGAGCCAGTGACGGTATATGTAGCGGCCTATAGCGCGGCCGTCGTCATCGGCCGCAGCTCTCTTGTCCTCTGTGTAGGGCGTGAAGTAGATGGCAAAGTGTTTGTTGAAGTAGTCCTCTAGCTTGAAGTACTTTTCTAGTTTCTGCAGCTGGCACCGAGACACTGTGGCTATAGTTTCGCCAACCGTGTCCATGCCTGGCAACGCCGAGCTCCACTTGTCCGTGAAAGCGTCTCGGTCATAACGGATCATGCGGGCTGTTGTATCGTGAAAGACGGCTGCCAGCTCCTTTCGAACCAGCCCCATGTCCATAGCGCTTGCCCCGGCCGTCAGGTACTTCTCGTCACAGCCCAGATACCTGAGGTAGCTGGGGTCAATTGGCAGGTCGGGTACATCGTCATACTCTCCCCCCGTCAGATACGGCGAATCCAGACTGAAGGGGACGACAATATCACCTTCTTGATATCGCATTTTTGTGAAAAGAAAAGAAGTCGAATATTTATTATCGAGGATAAGTAATATCGTTAGCGTAGTAGCAACATCGTTGACATAGGAAGAGAGCGGCCAGAATTTGAGCAAAAGAAAGATATTTGTTGGAAAAAAGCGTTGGGACGGACGGTGACACGCTACTCAGTTGAAAACCCAAACAAAAGGCGATTGGAATTTAAAGTTTGGCAACTCCTCGGTGCAAAGTGGTTTAGGTTTGAGGTAAAACTCGTCCTCCTCAGAAGTTAAAAGTGGTTGGAGCTACGGGTCTCGACGTCAGCTAGAACTTCCTGCTCAGCCCCTTAGGGCCCGCAAAAGAGCTCTTCAGGTCATGCGTGGTTTATCGCGGGAGGAGGATGAGGAGAAGGGTGGTGAAATGGTGGAGATCTCGTCGGGGTCTGACAAGACAAACAACAAGTAGGTTGTACCGCTCCAGTTTGGCTTGCCGTCGACACTATAGTTCATCCAAACAACCACGATCTCATCCACCGTTTTCATCCCAACTTCAGCGCGGTGGTCGCATAGCATACGACCCACCGTGCGGCCCAAGCCGCTCCCCAAGAGAGCATAAAACCCGAGCCCGTCCCCGTTGCCCGCCCACTGCCGTCGAAACAACATCTCAGAGTACTGGTTGCTGTTGCTGTTGCTGTTGCTGTTGCTGTTGCTGTTGCTGTTGCTGTTGCTGTTGCTGTTGCTGTTGTTCCGTTCTTTTTCCTTTATATATTCCATGCCCTTTTTGTCGGATCGATGAAGTGTCTCCTAGATTGCCGTCTTCGTATCCGCATGCATGACATAATCGAACCATATCATCCGTAAGCAAGACGAAGACTTCCCCTGGATCCGTGCGTCGAAGCTGAAAACTTGCCAAAACAGCTCCGATATGGGCAGTCTATCCGCCATAGGCGTCCGATCGCGGCTCCTCTTCAATTAAACAACATAGAGAATGCCACTCTTAGCATCCGACCTCAACATCATCAGCTCTTCCCCTTCCGGTAATGCTACCCCCTTTTCATTCATACGACCTTTTACATTGAAGTAGTTAAGCCGGTTCGTATCCACATTATATCGTCTTAAAATAAGACGGGGCACTCGTAACATCGTCGAGAATCTACTCAAGGGAATCTCTTCAGACTTGATTGTATAATGTTCGTCAAGCGTTGGATGGACCCAAGACGATTGGTGGATAGGATCGTGCAGGGTTGCTAGGAGGTTTTTGCCCAACGCAATGGCGGCATGGTACACCAACTCGCGGTTGTGGGTAGGGGGAGGAGTCAAAGGAATCTCTTCCATTTCAACAAAGATCAACAAAGATCAACAAACAACAGACGAAAAAGAGCACAGGACAAAAGGAGCAAATTGTCACCGGAATCTAAAAGAGCAAAGACGGGGTTGTGCTGAAGGACGGACGAACGGTAGTTGAGACGTAAAGCTACCTTGGCGCGTCAACGCGTATCTACTAAACCCATGATAGGCCGAGGGATAACGTTCCTGCCCAAGGCGATCTCACGATGGTTTTAGGATTATCTGACTAAGATGAAACAATCGCATTTAAAAAGGAAGGAACTGCATTCTAAACCAAAAAAATCTTCAAGATGAAAGATTAGTTTAAAAGAAGGCTCGTTAATTATATGAAAGGAAGCTACAATGAAAACCGGACTTTCCAGCCTAGGTATCGAAAACCACCATCTTCGTCCCTGCCCCCCATATAACAAACTGCAACCTACGCTCGTACGCGTGCCCGTAAAAAGGTAGATCGGCCAATTGGAAAAGACACTGAGTTAAAGATTTCAAGTTTGTACTCGATTCCCTTGTTATACCCTTTTCTTCTGGGCCTTGAGATGCATTGGATTGCGCCCTATGATGGGTGTAGTACAAACAGATTTGAATCTTTCAGTGTCTTCCCTCTCTCCCACCCATACAGATACAAATATATCTCATCCACTCCTAGTTGAATGACCAAGTGACCTGAGCGACGCCCACGTCCAGATCGCCAATGAGATCCTTAAACGTCTTCTCGCTGACGTCGAGGGCGCCCTCGGCGCACGACGGGCACTTGTCTCGGACCACGCCCTGGACCGAGTTGCCGTTGCTGCCCTGAATCGTGACCGTCTGGCCGCACGAGTCGGTGTCCAGTGACTCGGACACGGCTACAATGTACTCGGAGTCGCCCTTGCCGCTGTCGTCGTGGCCACACGCGCCCATTCCCACCGTGTAGTAGGTCATGTCTCCGGTCCGTGTACCAGCCGCCTTCCGCTTCTTGGCCTGGTCATGACCGTGGTTGATGGTCGTGTTGGTGATCGGCATGGTTCTGTCTGTGATTGAGACGGTCTTGTTTGTGGTCGAACGCAGCGCGGCCGACTCGCAGCCGGCGGCGAGGAACGCAATGTAGAGAGCGATGGTATACTTCATTGTGGTTGATTGGTTGGTCACAGTTATTTGAGGTTTAAAGGAATTGAAGTTCAAGAAAGATGTTGAGGTCAAAGACGATCGAAGTCAAATACTGAGAATTGTTGGTAAACGAGTGAACGCGTTGTGTACCGAATGAGTGTGTGCTAAACGAGTGTGGTTGCCCTCCTTGGCTGCTTCCGTGAGCGTGGATACACAACTGAAGCAAAAGAATGAATGACAGAGTTGGTCTGATTGCTAAAGAGCAAAAGAGCCCTTCAAGCCCAAACGTGAAGGGGAGAAATACTTATATCTCTCCTCCATAGCTAAAGGCTGTTCGGTCTCGGGGTTGGAGACTTCCGCGCCCACGCCTTTGACGAGTGACGCCGGGCATCCTCCTTGGAGCCGGCAACGCCGGCTTCATACTAATAGAGACGGAATTGCCGGCCCTCGTGTAGTCATTGTATGGCGTGCGTCTAAATCATTTCAGGGTGAACTCTATCACAAGCCCCCTCCGCTCGGCTACCCCAACCCATGGCGCCCCGGGTGGAGACAAAAAAGGCAAAAACACAAAATGAAATCTACATACAACACCAGGGATTCGCTGGTCGTCACCGACCCAACTACTAGTCTGGCCCTCACTTGCTTATCTAGGGCAGAGCGGACGGGATGCCGAGTTCTCAAGTGGGTATGGTCGTATGTGACAGTCTTCTCTGGTCAAGGTGGTTATATCGTTGTCTCGACTGTGAATTTTCATCTCGTCAGTTAACCGCCTTCAGAAACATGTAAACTCACCATGTCGTACATTATCTCTCAATCCGAATATGTATGTAGATACGTAGTGTATATACCCCAGCCATTAACTATGAATACCGTTTCTCCAAGCAATGCTTGTGCAGGCCATAATCCCATGTCGTCAACTACAGTCAGCCAAAGAACGCCAACCACCAGCCAGTCGCTATACATAACCATACAATAGACTATCTACCA